AGAGAGAGAGAGAGAGAGAGAGAGAGAGAGAGAGAGAGAGAGAGAGAGAGAGAGAGAGAGAGAGAGAGAGAGGAACAAAAAATACTTGTTTACGTGTTGTGTTGAGCATGTATCGCTATTTTGGGCTATCAGCAAAACATAAAGCCACGTAGAGATGATCGTCGTTGTGATTGCCATTGCTGCTGTTGTGCTGTTGCTTTGCTGACTCAGTCCATCCGCTGTTTATGTGTGGTAAATTATTAGCGATTGATCATTCATTTCATATTATGCTAATTTAACACAATTCACACCAGGTGAAGAGAATTGTTTGAATATTTAAATATGCGCGAACAATTTGCTGCGAGTAAAATCGATTATATCCAAAATAGACGCGATTCACCGTTAAGTTTCTGTTGGGCAAGAGCGGATAGAAAGAATGAAGAAATAAACCATCAGCTCAGCACAGAGAAACAAAAAATTGTTGATGATGGCAAAGGTTGTGATTGGGTCCGGCGTCACACGCTCGTGATGATGATCGAAAAAAAAAATCGACGTTTTTGGCATCGTATGACACATGAGTTTTCATTGTGCATTCTCTTCTCTCTGTCTCGCATTTCAAAATAGTTTATTGAATAAAATGGACACGAAGGCGATCAATTACGATTGAATGTCTGGCACCATTTTCTATTATTTATATATTGCTCATCGTCATCGTGATGATTGTTGTTCGAATGGAGGTAGAGAAAGAAAGCCAATCGACCCGAGAATCCATATTGGTAAATAGCGCGATTCACTCATATGGATTTCAATTCCATTGCACATTGATTTATGCTTAATCGAACTTAACGGTGAATTTTCATTTTCGATATTATTACACTTTGCACAAAATCAGTTTTGTCGGAACTTCCATTTCAATCGTTATGTTTTTTCCCCTCTAAATTATTAACCAATTCTAATTGTTTGCTGAACGAACTTCGTTCAATTTCGAATGGTGTAATGTTTTCGCGCTCACACAAATCATTCAAATACGTTCTTTTCAATTGGAATTTCTCTTGAGTGCGCGGCGCGCTTTCGGTGAAATTTACACGTTGTCGACCGAATCTAGTTCATTCAATCTCTTCACTACAATTTTGAAACCAATACACAATTGCCAATGATCGCATTTTACAAATTGCATCGCATAGCACACCGTTACCTACGAATGCTATTTGTGTACACCGTGTTGTAATAATTAATGTGGCATTTGATCGTGATTCGAACGTAATTTGCTGATTCTAGCTGCCAAATGGTGGAGTGTGTTGTGAGCAACGTGCAAGAATAATCGCCCAATCGACATAGGCACGGGAAATACGTGAAAAATATTCGAAGCGGTCAGAATAAATTGAGGAATTGGTTCAAAGTCAATGTTCCTTTGCTCACTCGATTCGAATGTTTAATGTTGAAAATCTGATGCTCTTTAGGAAAACCAAATCCAAAAGCAGCATCATTCTCACCAATTCTGGGCTGTAATAAAATGTTGTTTCATTTGTAATCAGTTGGATGTTGCCAATATGCGCTCGGTACATTCAATATATGTTCAATTGGTGAATTATGTGCCATTCAAAGTAAGAAATAATATTTTCGGACTTAATGATGGCCAAAATCATTGATCAGGTTCACGCAGCGTTTGGTCCGAGCTCTGCTCTGCTCTGCTCTGGTCTGAGTTGAACCAAACCGAAATCAATCCAATTGAAAATTTAAACACTACGGCAAAGAAAGTACCGCTAAAGCGGCTAAAGCAACCGAACAAGTATGGAGGGAAAAAAGAGTCGAGCATCAAGTTTGATCGACACATTGTAGCCAAGTGCAAATCAGATTTCAGTAGAAATGCCACGACCGAGAGCAATTCAGCAAATCGAATATTATATGGGCATGTGAACAAAGAAGAAGAAGAAGAAGAAATGTTGTAGGTCGCGAGCGAGCGCAAAAGCGCACGCTCACCAAATGTGTGCTTTTCTGCATTCGTTTCGCATATAAAACAGAAACAATGCAACCATAAACAATTGGTTAATGTTCGGTTGGCCTGAAAATATGCCTCACATTAGGCATTGGCGGCGATGAGCGATTGAATGTATTTGCGGTGCTCTCTTTTGAGGCCGCGTGCATCGCAACGCTTAAAAGAAAGAAAACTACATCAAAGAAACATTAAAATTATTATTTAAAGTGCGATTATTTGTTATTTATAATGAAATAATCGTACGCACCGATTTATTATAACGTGAGGACTTCGCTTCATTATAATATTTATATGCATTTGTGGCTGGTATCGGGCAAATAAATAAAATCAGAAAGTGTGATTTGGCACGTCAGTTGATGTCTGCATTTTTCGTGTGCACAAAACGCAAAACGTGCATCGATTACGAAGTTGAGTGAGCGAGTGCACACACAGAGCCTACGCTGTGAGATGAATATGCATATATATATATACATGCTGTGGCCGAGATCCAAAATTCAGAGCAAGCAGCAGCAGTGCAGAGCAATCATTTCGTTTTTCTCGCCGTGTGTCGTTCGCCCGATCACTGATTTCCTTAATACATTAATTCTTCGCCGTGTGTGCACTTATTTTGCGCTGTATTTCTCTTTATTTCACCGCGCGCAATACGGCAAAAGGAGAAAATATAGTGATTTAGCCGCATTATTATCGAATGGTTTGGCACATACAATTTAT